TCCCCCCAATTTCCGCATACCCTCCTCCAACCTGCTATCCCCATTCCCTGCCCCGATCACTTCATTTTCTTTCTCCCCCAATCAACCGCCGTTTTTCGTCTCTTTCCCCAGAAAAAAAAAAAAAAAAACTATTACAAGTTACGAAAAAAACATGAGAGAAATCCTTCACATCCAGGGCGGGCAGTGCGGCAACCAGATCGGGGCCAAATTCTGGGAGGTGATCTGCGACGAGCACGGCATCGACCACACCGGCAAGTACAGCGGCGACTCCGAGCTCCAGCTCGAGCGCGTCAATGTCTACTACAACGAGGCCAGCGGCGGCAGGTACGTCCCCCGTGCCGTCCTCATGGATCTGGAGCCCGGCACCATGGACTCCGTTCGATCCGGTCCTTTCGGCCAGATCTTCAGGCCCGACAACTTCGTCTTCGGCCAGTCCGGCGCCGGCAACAACTGGGCCAAAGGCCATTACACCGAAGGCGCCGAGCTCATCGACTCCGTTCTTGACGTCGTCAGGAAGGAGGCCGAGAATTGCGATTGCCTCCAAGGTCTCAATTTCCGCTCTCTCGCTCTCTCTTTTCGATTTCAAAATTTTCGTTTCCCCCAATTGTTGAATTCCGCTAGGGATCCCGCTAAAATCATCTGTAGCTTACTGTGGCCCTGTTTTTTTTTTCTTTCTTCGTTTGGATAGGATTTCAAGTGTGTCATTCATTGGGTGGAGGCACTGGTTCTGGGATGGGAACGCTTCTCATCTCCAAGATCAGGGAAGAATACCCTGATCGGATGATGCTGACCTTCTCCGTCTTCCCCTCTCCCAAGGTTTCCGATACAGTTGTCGAGCCATACAATGCGACGCTCTCCGTTCATCAGCTCGTGGAAAACGCCGACGAGTGTATGGTTCTGGACAACGAGGCCCTTTATGATATCTGCTTCCGTACCCTCAAGCTTGCTACCCCAACTTGTAAGTCATACATACAATCATTCCTCTATGAAGCTTTGCTTTTTGGAATTCGTTGCACTGAGCCATTTCCCCGAGAGAATGTTGGTTGGGGATTTGACTACATAAGTTATTGGATAGTCTTGTTCACCTTCCCTGATTGATACCATGTTCACTAATGTCGATGATATTTGAGAATTGAGTGTGTTGGGTTGGTGGCTTGTCAGTATCATTACAGGTTAAATGTAGTGGGTTTGATTGATTATGAGATGTTAAGTCACTGTTATTTGAGAATGAGTGAGTTGGGTTGGTGGCTAATCACTGGTATTTGAATTATATGGGTTTTGTTAGTACATTGAATCGTGGGCATTATTATGGATGCAACTTGTGATCTCGATCATTAGATGCATATCATAACATTTTAGCCCGAATCTAACAAGTAACAGCTGAGATTGTGCAATCCGATGCTGTTAATCCGTCCCTTCAACATGTCAACCTTATTGATTATATATATATAAATGTCTGTCATATTTTGGTATCTGTACACATGGCGGGTGAGATAAAGCTGACTCCTTTTCCCCCCATTATCTTATTGCAGTCGGCGATCTGAACCACTTAATTTCTGCGACGATGAGTGGTGTGACATGCTGCCTTCGATTCCCCGGACAGCTGAACTCTGACCTCAGGAAGCTCGCAGTGAACCTCATCCCGTTCCCTCGCCTCCATTTCTTCATGGTTGGGTTCGCCCCCTTGACCTCCAGAGGGTCGCAGCAGTACCGTGCATTGACCGTCCCGGAGCTGACCCAGCAGATGTGGGACGCCAAAAACATGATGTGCGCAGCCGATCCGCGTCACGGCCGGTACCTCACTGCCTCGGCGATGTTCCGCGGCAAGATGAGCACCAAAGAAGTCGACGAACAGATGATCAATGTCCAGAACAAGAACTCTTCATACTTCGTCGAGTGGATCCCGAACAACGTGAAGTCCAGCGTCTGCGACATCCCGCCGAAAGGGCTGAAGATGGCTTCCACGTTCGTCGGCAACTCGACCTCGATCCAGGAGATGTTCAGGCGTGTGAGCGAGCAGTTCACGGCTATGTTCAGGCGCAAGGCTTTCTTGCACTGGTACACTGGCGAGGGGATGGACGAGATGGAGTTCACCGAGGCGGAGAGTAACATGAACGACCTGGTGGCTGAGTACCAGCAGTACCAGGACGCGACGGCGGACGACGAGGAGTACGAGGATGAGGAGGAGGATGCGGCGTAAGTAAAGCTTCAGTATGATGATTTCTGGCAAGTTGTTCTCTTTGGCTCTCTGTTTTGAGTTGAGTGATGATGGTTGTCCCGTTTTGTTGATAACTGGGCCTGATTTGGGTTCGCATCGTGTGTGTATGTATATTATATATATTTGTATGTGATTGTTTGATGGATTATTCTTGTACTTGATATATAGAGATATATATGGATGAATTGTGTATCAGAAAGATGTATCTAAGCAACACACGCGCTGATTAGAGGTGATGCTGCAATTTACAGATGATCCACAATATAATAAGCTTTTCTGATCCAATCTCAAAGTAGAGCATTTCAAGGTTAAAAGGATGCATGAAATGAAGAATTGTGATTAGTTTAGAACACTTTGTTCGATGACGTCACCATGATCATTAGGGCATTCTAATATCCAAACAATGTATTTTTCAAATTCATACATTGAAACAATGCATCTATTTATAATACATACATTGGTTAAATACATCAATTTAAAAAAAAAATACTAACTTCCAAACATGCCCTAAGATTAGGCGATACTCCAAACTGGTTAAAAACTTTAAGTATCAATCAATTTGAATTAAGTGAATTACAACTTGCCCTACCTACAACTTAGGGGGTTCATACCTGAGTCTGAGTGAGCCTTCTTACTTTGAGAACAACCAATATGCTTTCTTGCTCTCATGTTTCCTTAGATTAAGCTCTTCACTACAATATGATAGCTAGATAACATAACATTCACGGAGTAACCAGTACACCTACGACCTAGGTTGACAAACTAAACAGAACCCACTTTACTGTAGTCGCTCGCAGTGGTTATACTTGGCCATTATGAAAATGTTGTATTTTAGTGAGTCAAATCTTAACCCTCTGTTCTGTCTAACACAAAACTAAAGAAGAAAGAGGAAGAAGGAGGAGGACGACTAGGTATGTTGTCTGGGAAGGCATCTTGGTGGTGATTGGCAGATGAGGGATGTTGTCGTTGTCTTTTGATGAGAAAGGATTAGAAATGACGAAAAAGAGAGAAACACGCAAAGATAAAAATAACGAAGGTGAGTGGATGAGGGTATATGATAGGGTGCATAACTAGTTTTAGGTCTTTAGTTTTGAGTGTGACAAGAAATGCTCATATTTAAGGAGTGAGAATTAATGACTTTATGGCTATAATAAGATATGAAGATCACAAATGAAGAGTTGGCCAAATTCTCAACAGATAACCTATTATCAAGACTCGTCATTTTCCTCAGCAAATTTACTAATTTAGTCATAGAAACTCTCGCCTATTCTCCATATAGATTAATTTAATGTAGATTTATCTCGTAGATCACAAAATATAAATTAATATCCTTATTTAAACTTTATTAAGACAAGTGTAATCAATGTTTTGTTAATCATTGTTCAATAAATTAAGGTACAATCAATTTTGTTTAACCAAAATTCTGACGCACGAAAAAACTAGCTAATAGTATTTAGGCTTTAAATGAGCCGAGCTACTCGCGAGCAACTCGAGACTCGAACCAGGAGAAACTCGTTCAAAACTCGACTCTTTTACTAACGAGCCAAGCTTGAGCTTAGCTTTGTTAAGCTTGCGAGCTAGCTCGACTTGGTGGCTTGTTGAGCTCAACTCGTGAGTTGGCTCATTTAGAGCTCATGAGATGTCTCAACATTGTGGTTTGAGGGCCAACTTGATCACCGATTTATGGACGAATCGATCTAATTTGGACTTTCATAATTCATAGGATTGTTAAATTATATATCTCACATCATGTGAAGTTTAACATGTTGAACATGTAAGAAACTATGCCTTATTTTTAATTCTATAAAGAAATTATGTACAAAATTGTTTCGATACTATGAAATAACATAATTTGAACTAGTTAAAATTTATTAACTAAACAATATGACACCTACAAATTATAATATAAGATTAATTAATGTTGAACATTTGACTATTTATTTATCTTTACATCAATCACATGTACCATACATGACATACAAAATGAATGTATCAAATACGATCTAAGAATTTAGTAAAGAAGCTTATCTTGAACTTGACTCGACTCGGCTCGTTAACAAATGGCTCGAGCTCGAGCTCAGCTCATTTGTTAACTAGTAGAGGTGACAAATGGATTGGATTCATAGGTTGGTGGATTGGATTGGTGGATCCATGGATCAAATGGATTAGATCCAATGGGTTGGTGGATTCATGGATTGGATCAAATGGATTGGTGGATTGATCCATGAATTCAAATGACTTCCAAAGCTTGGACCAAAATGTAAATTTTGAAAAGTGTAGGTACTAAAATGTCATAATAAAAGTTGTAGGTACCAAAATATAATTTCCCATGATACTTTTTGTATAAAAATATAAATTTTAGGTACCAAATCGTAATTTGTCATTTGGATTCATGGATTGATCCATTAATCCACCAATCCAATTGGATTTGGATCAAATGGATTGGATTTAAATGTATTGAATTAGGTGGATAATTTGATGGATGGATTGGATTGAATTCATGAATTTGGATCCTAATTGCCACCTCTATTAAGTATTACGGAGTAAAGCTCGGCTCATTTACATCCCTAATTAGTATTACCTCTGTACAGTACTAAGCATATACAATTTTTATAATCGGACGGCTGAGCGAGCCCCCGGTATTATTATGATTCATTTCATTTGATTTGATCATTCCCTGCTTTTAGCAAGGAGGAGCTGGATGAGAAAAGTGTCTGGCTGGCACCCGTTACATTACATGAGGATGAATCGGGTTTTTCTTCTTCAACAGAGGCCCATGATTAAAAAAAAAAAAAAAATTGAACGGTTTAGATCTCTCCAATTTCCCTCCCCTGCATATTTTAAGTATTTGTAAACTGTTTCTTGGCCACACTATTTCAGTCACTTCAATTCTCTGCCTTCCGTTGCCGAACGCGACAAGGAGTCCCCAAAAAACACCGCAAAAAAGATAAAAAAGGATTAGGATTTAGGAGGCAAAGAAAGCGAACAAAATAGAGGAGGAGAAGCACAAGGAAGAGCGCCACAGCTCCGCCACTGTGGTTGTGGTGGCTTTGTTTTCCTAAACGAACCCAATTTGAGGGAAAACCCAGCAAAGGGGTAAACATAAACACCCCCCCAGAAAGCCAAACTCGCTGCATCCGCGGGAGTGCGAGCCTGCAGATCCGACCTGCATTTTGCTTCTCAGGTTAGCTCCCCCAATCCCCTTCTGCAACTTTTGCTCAGTTTCGGTTCTGGGTCTTGCTTATTTTCTCGTTTCTGGATCTGGGTAGCTCCTTGTTCCTCAGATTCTTCTTCCCGCAAAATTCTTGTCGAGCTGAACGAACGCATTGTGTATTTTTTCGGTTTCTCGTTGGGCTGGAGAGAAAATCGCTTGATGTCAATTTAGGGCTGGAAGCCGATTCTTTATTGCCACATTGTCCGATTTGTTTGTCTGTTTGATCGGATAGAATGTAGAGGATCTTGTTTCTTTTCAGTCTCTGATGACTTATCAAAATTCGGCGTCTTGGTAAATTCAGCTTTGTGTGGATGTAGTTGTAGAGTTGAATTATGGCTGCTTCTTTCCTCATCCCGTGGGTCCCGCATAAAGTAGATGCTCGTTGATTGTTCTCTCTAGTTCATTCCGTCATGGAAATATCTGATAACGACGTGAATTTGACGGTTGTTGTTTATCATCATCTATAGATCTTCTACACCAAATGCACAAAGCAAGAAACGATTTCCATGGAACCCATTTGGTCGATTACTTAATTTGTGCACCTTTTCAAGATTGATCTGTTGGATTGACATTTTGGTATGTCTTCTCTTTTGTGTAGTACCTCTTTCTCCAGCTAAGCTAGATTAGGGGCTCAAAGATGGTGGCACAGGGGTTCGTAGTTGATCTCAATAAACCACTTGTCTTCCAGGTAAAAATTATAATCCCAGTTTGAATGACCTCAGTGCATTGCATAGCTGATTTGAGGTTTGTAAGCTGCGCAAGCCAAATTTCCAATATTTCACCTGTGATTCTTTCTCATCTCCTGTCCAAAAAAGCTTTGGCTTTGGCTATTCTCAAATTTTCTCATCTAAAGTTTACTCCTTTCTGATCCCAGTTCAAATGACCCGAGTGCATTTGCATAGCTGATCTGAGATTTGTATGCTGCGCCAGCCAAATTACCAATATTTCACCTGTGATTCTTTCTCATCTCCTGTCCAAATTTTTTTGCTTTTGGCTATTCTCCAATTTTCTCATCTGAAGTTTACTCCTTTCTGATCTTTTAGTTGCATTTACTTGTGGCATGTCAGGATTTTTCGTTATGATTTCCCAATACTCGGAGTAGTCTCATTTTCTTGTGATTTTATAGGTTGGTCATCTGGGTGAGGCATATGATGAATGGGTTCACCAGCCTATTGTCAGCAGAGAGGGTCCTAGGTTCTTTGCAAATGATGTTATGGAGGTACCTCAGCTGCTTAACTTTGTATAGACTTCCCCAAACCGTGTCTATTATACTGAACTATGCATCTCAAAGTTTGTATTGAATTTTCTGAATAGGCCTTGACTCGTACAGTTTGGTGGGTAATTCCGACCATCTGGATTCCAGTTGTATGCTATTTCGCTGCAATGTCTGCAAGGCTGGGCCTCGTTATTCCTGAGGTTGTTTCGTTGTTGTTTTTGGGCGTTTTCCTATGGACACTAGTTGAATACACCTTGCATCGCTTCCTTTTCCACATTAAGACTACTTCTTACTGGTTAGTCTCTCTCTGTCTCCAGTTGAATCTAAGTTAATGCATAAAACTGAAAGAGTTCATTAAAAATATTGGAACCCTTCACGTTATCAAGTTCATCAATCTTTGGTGTTGCTCAACGTGCTTCAGGGGAAATACTGCACACTATCTCCTTCATGGCTGCCATCATAAGCATCCCATGGACGGTTTGCGCCTCGTCTTTCCTCCCGCGGCAACAGCTATTCTATTAGTACCAGTATGAGCATTGTTACTTGTTATATTGATTCTTTTGATGATTTATAAACCATTGGACGGAATAGAGACTATGGTGCAGAGTACAACTAGGCGTTACATCCATTACTGTTGGATAATTGACATGAATCGTCAACTAATTTTCTTGATGGCAGTTCTGGAACTTTGTTAAGCTTCTGTCCACGCCTACGACTGCGCCTGCCCTTTTTGCTGGTGGTTTGCTGGGGTATGTTATGTACGACTGCACCCATTACTACTTGCACCACGGGCAGCCATCGAATGAAGTTCCTAAGCATCTCAAGGTGAGGCCCCTTTTCGGCATATGGGTCTTTACATGTGAATGCTGGTGGTTGTAAGTTATGTTGATGTTGGGGTTGATCTGGTTTTGTAGAAATATCACATGAATCATCACTTCAGAATCCAAGACAAGGGGTATGGAATCACTTCTTCCCTGTGGGACAGGGTGTTTGGAACACTTCCTCCATCGAAAGAAGCCCAAAAGAGTAGATAAGTTTTGATATGGGAACCAGTGCAGTCCTGAGTAGAGAGTCGGGAACACACCAGCTAATGGGGGAGGAAGGAGAAGGAAAGGGGAAGTAGTGGGTGCTTTCTCTGGATGATTTCGATGCTGTGTATTTTTCCCGTTGTCCCTAGACCATATAAAATATCAATATTCATTCTTGTGCTGCCTGTTCAATTGATTGGTTTAGTTGGTAGCTTGGCAACTTCAAAAAGAAATATGGGTTTGGGGACAACTTTGTAGCCTTTTGGTTTTTGTACCTTTGGTAAGTGGGTTTTGCTTGAGCATCTCTGAGTTCGATTCTCTGTAACGAGAGAAACAAAATAGAATAGAAAACAACAAAAGACCGTTATTGTTTGTATTCAGCGATAGAACAATAGCATCGGTGAGATGATGTCACCTTCTGTATCTCTCAGCGAGTTGAGATGAAAAAGAAAGGAGAAATCGAGAAGCAGGAGAAGAGAATCAGAGAGCTTGAAAGAGAGATACAGAGAGAAAGGGGAGGAAAAGTTTGTTATTTCTTTATAGATGGGTCTAACAGAATACAATGGCTTTCTTAAGTAGGCTGGTCTACTCTTGTCAGGGTGAATGGTGGAACTCTGAGGTAGCTGAAGCTTGTAGGCCACCAATCTCATCTTCTGCACAATCAAGAAAGGCCCAAAGAACATGAGAGCTAGTTTTTTATTTGCCATCAACTCCACTAATGGCTGCTTGTAAGGTCGCAATTTCACATAAACCCAATCGGAATTCCATCTCAGTTCTATGCTTGTGAGCCATATGCTTTTGTCGATTTTGAGCCATAGCAAGGTTGTGTCTGAGTAATCCCACCAGCCTATGAACAATGCATCCCTGCCTGAAATAATTCGTGTGAGGCATCCCATGAAGTTTAAAGATCTCATCCAAGAACACATGTGCCACTATTGCTGTTGAAAAGGGGTGTTTTTCCCCAAATACAACATTAATTAAAAAAAATTCTAAACTACAACACTGGTAAAATTTCTCCCCAAAATACCTAAGTTTAAGGTGGTTCGAGTCCAAAGGCCTCGAACGATTAGTGGGATCGAGTTAGAGAGCCTCGATTCACTTTCTGAGGTAGTGGATAGAGTCTGAGTGCCTCGATCCACTGCGTTGAAATTTCCAATAACCTTAACTTTGTGCTCGTTTATCTTATCGTAGTGAATTTTTTTTATTCCACATAACTTTTTGAGGACTACAACTTTTTGTGAATTTTTTTTTATTCCGCATAAATTTTCGAGGACTGCAACTTTTTTCATAGAAATATTTTCAGAATGTATGTGAAAATGTGAAAAGTAAAGCTAAAGTTATTCTCAAAACCCGTTATATCCAAAAAAAATTCCTATTTTGAAAATTTCATCCTAGCAAAAGTTGTAGTACGCAAAATTTTATGCAAAATTTCATAATGTATCTTGTTCGATTCCTGCTTTCCACCACATTCTTTTGTATTCAGTCAAGGTCTCTCGAAAACTCGTTTGGTTGTGAATGAAACCTAGATGAATATAGAATCAAGAGAATTTGAGCTACTGTGAACATGAAAATATAGTCCCGTCAAATTACAGTTAATTACCCATTTAGGTAATTTGAATTTATATTGGAGGATATTTAAAAGTTTCCAATTTGAGAAAGTGTTTATTATATTCTTTTCTTTTTTAGTGGGAAGTGTTTACTATATTCTATTGATGCATACGACTGAAAGACTTTACTTAAGACAAAAATGAATTGTCAAGAAGGTAAAAGAGATAGGATGAATAGTTGGTCAGTTCTAGTATTGGTGGTACATCTATTGGGAAAAAAATTCCAAAACACACATATTTTTTTAAAAAATTTTCAAAATACACACGTTATAAAAAAAATTCTCAAAATACACATGTTTGGGCATCACTGCGGTCGTCAACCACAGTGAATGCATTCACCGCGGCGGACGAAAGTAGGGGGTGTTCAAATGGTTACCGTGGTTATAACCGAACCAATTAAGCCTAAATTTCATTAACCATGAAATAAAATGTCTTAACCAAACCGTCCAAATTAACACGAAAACCAAATTAACCAAACCAAAGTATAATTGGTTTGGTTAATCGGATAATCGGATTAACCGAATAAAATTACATTACATGAAAACATATCATCATCATTCGAGTTAATATATCATTCATCATATCTGCACCTAATATAGTTGACTTACAATAACCCCCTTAACATAAATACATACATATACCCTCGGTCAAGAAGTTAAAATCTCTTCCTACAAAACCGTTAAACTATACATAGTTTGAGGTGAGGTGATTATCACGTAATCCAAAAGAAAGTCTAGTAGCTGTTCAAAAAACCTCCACAAAAAGAGCTACTGCCAATATACATATAGCACTTGATAGAAAGAAGAATAAGATTAACAAATACCACTCAAATAAAATCAAGAAGGCATCATGTATTCATGTGGTGATTATTTAAATATGCACTTTTGTTGAAAATGCATATTGTAGCACTATTCTCATATTGCAGTTGTAAGTAGTAACCACTAACTATGCTTTCTCCTTCTCCCCCACTCAATAGCGTAGAGAAGTGGCAGGGGCAGAGAGTCTCGTGTGCAGCTGCTAGCCTGCTACTGCCTTAGTGTTTTTTTTCTTTCTTTCTTTTGGTTTGAGAATAACAACAGTATATATTTATACCTGGAATGGTGGGCATCAGTATCATTGTCAAGTTCTATCTGTAGTGCCACTGATCGTAACATCACTTAAAGCTGTAAATTAAAATTGACAAAACATGAATAAAATTTTTAGCACAAATTACCAAATGAATAAGCATAAATAAAAAGTAAGAGGTGGAATCTCGTTACCTTCTTCTAGCTTTTCCAGTTCCACTGTATTTTCTTCAACGCTTGTGTTCTGTGGATACGATCTCACCCAATTCTGGCCACAAATGAGAGCTTGTGCAATCAGTGGAGTTAAAGAACTCCTGTGTTCATCAAGAACTCGGCCACCAGTGCTAAAAGCAGATTCGGAAGCCACAGTGGAGATGAGTATGGCTAGAACATCCCTAGCCATACAAGCAAGGATTGGAAATCTAGCACTATTCATCCTCCACCAGTTCAAAACGCTAAAGTCTGCAGCCTCTTCTTCAGCTTGCTCCATTAAGTACTTATCCAACTCATTTCTACTCAATTCAACGCCGGATTCTAAGTTTCGTTGCTTGAACCGGGACTTCCTCATCAATTTTTGCCTCTCTGACTCTGATGTACTCCCAATACCACTTGAGCTGGTTCCAAACTCAACAACTAAGGAACCTGGAATGTGGACAGGTACTTCACTTGGGACTTGATTCATTTTCCTATATTCCTCGTACATTTCATACATTTCCTCTTTAACCCGCTTTCCATATTCTTTTCCTGCTGCCTCTCCATACATTTCACCAAGAGTAAACACCAAATACTCCAATTTCTCTCTAGGATCAAGCACAAAGGCAATATAAATCAGTTTGTTCATTTTGCCAAAGTCTCCCCAATACTTATTGTACTTGATCTTCATCTTTGAAGCCATATGACGCAAATCAATATCAGAACCAGATTCCCATTTATGTAACATCCCTTGAATAACACTCAAGTCATGAAAAAATGAGCAAGATGTCACATATGAAGAACCAGAAACTTTAAGAGTTAAATCATAGAAATGTTCCAAGAAGGTCACAAGCTTTCTAGCATTCTCCCAATCTAGGGAAGTTGGAGGCCCTCCAATTACTCCATCATCTTTCTGAAGCAAGTCCAAAGTGTAATACCCATCCATTCCCTCATACCTATCAAATGCCCTTTCGAATTTTTCAGCTGTGTTCAACATTAAATAGGTGGAGTTCCACCTAGTCGGCACATCCAAACAAAGCAAGCTCTTCCCTTCTATGTTTTCAAGTTTAATGCACTCCTTAAACTTTTCCAGCCTAGAAGGAGATGACCTTATGTACTTGACAGCCTCTCGAACTCTTCTTACCGAAGGATGATGCTCCTTTAAACCATCACTAACAATTAAGTTGATGATATGAGCAGCACACCTCATGTGCAAATATTTTCCATTTGAAATGGCAGTTCCTCGAACAACAAGTTTCTCTCTTAAATACTCAACTGCCACATCATTTGCAGAAGCATTATCCACAGCAACAACAAATACTTTCTCAATACCCCAGTCACGTAAGCACATTTCAATACGTTCTCCTATATCCCTACCCTTGTGAGAAGAAATAGTGCAGAAATTCAAGATCTTCTTCTTCAATATCCAATCATCATCTATGTAATGGCCAGTAAGAGTCATGTAGTTGATGTTTTGCAAGGATGTCCAAGTATCCGTAGTTAAAGATATTCTTCCACCAATTTTCTGAAGGGATTGTCTCAACAAATCCTTTTCATCTGAAAACAGCTTAAAACAGTCCCTTGTAATGGTAGTTCTTGAAGGCATTTGAAACCTAGGACATGCAATTGCCATCACATGCCTAAACCCTTCCCTATCCACTACTCTAAAAGGCTCTTCATCGATAATAATCATACGTGCTACAGCCTTTCTAATTGCCTCTTGATTAAAGCTCCAATTACTAAGTTTCCCACCCCCATCTTGACCAGGTTTCAAGTTCAGCAGCTGCTGTTTCGGAGAAACCACTCGTTCATTGCAGGAAAGCATATGAAATCGTAAAGGGCTAGTTCCATCTTTTGATGTATCAGCAAAGTAAACCTTACCACACAAACCACACTTAGACACCACATCATCACCCTCTTTAGCTTTTGAAAATTGGGCCCAAACATCTGACCTTGCCTTCATTGGTTTTCTTCTCTTTCTCTTCAGTTTGGCAGTAGGTGGTATAGGAGCACGATTGACAGCTGGTATTGTTGTTGCATTCTCAGTACCACCGGCGACTGGATTTAAACTTGGACATGCTTGCGGTGATGCGCCGACAGTAGCATCAGCAACAACACCATCGGTCAATTTCCTCGGTTCAGAAACCTGGAATTAACAAAGCTACATTAATTTTTTTTATTGTAAACGTGACCTAAAAATCTACCAGGTCACTATAACTAACACACACATAGGGAAACATATACATAACCACAAATGAAGCACACACAAAGTTAAAAGATGGAGCTCACCTGCTTACAGAAAAAGAAGGGGAAAAAAGATGGTGCGACATTCATCAATTCAGAAAACAAGTTTAGAGAATAAGAAACAAAGAGACCAACAGCCTACATGACTCAAAAGCAAAGTGCTCCAAGAACCCAACTTAAAGCATCTACTATCTACTAGGAAAACAAGAAAAGTAGATAAGCAAGGACTAAAACAGCAGCACAAAACCCTAATAGTGGTAAGACAACACAGAGTCGTAATGACCCATAGAAACACAGAAAAGAGAAGTGATGAAAGATTGAGTGTTGGCTTACTGTGCAAGAGGTGGATTTTGATTTAGATACCATTCTCGAAGAGTTATGAATGGAAATATTTGTATTCGACTGTCTCTCTCTCTCCTTCTCCCTCTCAATCTAGGGTTCAATGTTCTGGGGAGTGGAAATTGGATATGGGGATTGAGGACAGAGGGAAACGAAACGTTTGGTTTTGTTTGGTGTTGAGAGAGGCCCACTTGATGGTAGTGGAAACTGGAAAGTGGAGGTTATCATATTATTATTAATTATTTATTTGGTTAATTGGTTTCATTGGTTAGCAAAGTTGAAACCAAACCAAACCAGTTAAACCAAATAAGCTAACTTATTTAACCAAACCAAACCAATTATCCAAATTAACCGAACCAAATTAACCGAATACTACCGGTTAATATGGTTACCACGGTAACCAATCCGTTTGAACACCCCTAGACGAAAGCGGTGAATGCATCACTGCGGTTGACGGTCGCAATTAGGGGCGGCAGGACGATTTTCGGTTAGCAATTAACCGGACGATTTCGACCGAACCGACCGGTTTTTGGCTAACCAAAAACCGTCGCATTTTGGCAGCGATCGGTTGGCGGTGGTGAGGGGACGTGGCTCGGCTAGCCGACTGACCGAGGTTGGAAACCGGCGGTTAGCCGACTAACCGAGCTCTACCCAACCTAACCTAAACGACACACCCTCACACTCAAAACGACCCCTCCCCTAACCGGCTAACCCTAACCTAAGTCCCCAAAATGCAAAACCCTAACCGACCCACTTCTCTTCCAAATGCGGGTAGCCAGATCTAGATCCAGATCCGCTGCCGTTGCCGGTCAGGACTTCCATCTCCGCTCGGAATTCCTTTTCCCCTTCGATCCCTGCTCTCTGCAGCTTCTTCACCGCGACTTCTCTTCCGTCAGGTAACACCCCTCTGTAAACTGTGCCAAACCCTCCTCTCCCCACGATTCTCCCATCCGAGAAGTTCTCCGTCGCGGACAAAATGTCGGCGTGAGTGAACGCCGTCTTGTCCAGGCGGATTACCTTCACGGTGTTCGACGACCATACCGGCGACGAGCTACCGGAGGTCGTCGAGACGTCGTGCCTGGATTTGTTGTGTTGCAGCAGATACCCAGGTGATGATGATGATTGGGGTTTCCCCAGTAGATGGATGACGAACGACAGTGCTCCGCAGATCAAGATTGCCAAGACGAGGGCGGAGAAGATCAAGAATGCTCCCCTTTTCGGTTACCGGTAGGTTAGGCAGCTCCAACCGAACCACCCTTCAGATTTCGGTTGCCCAGGTTAAACCGCACCTAAACCGAAAATCGGCTGGTCGGTTTGTGGCTAACCGAGGCTGCTGGGTCGGTCGGTCAACGGTAGCGATTGGTCATGTCTCGGTTTAACCGAAAACCGAGATTTCGGTTTTCAGTTAAACCGAAATCGACCGATCGCCACCTCTAGTCGCGGTGAATACCTGACGTAACACTGAAACTTCAAACAAACGTAACTTTGCTCTCGGTTATCCAATTGTAGCGAATTGTTTTTATTCCACATAAATTTTCAAGATCTTTCAATATGCAAGAAGGCTTCATCCCAAAAAAAAAATTCGTTTGCCACCCTGAACGAGCAATTTATCGATTTTGACAAACTTTGGAAGACCATAACTTTGTGCTCTGTAATCCGATTGTCATGAAACTTTTTTTTTATTTCGCATAACTTTTGATGGACTACAACTTTGAATATAACCATAATTTTGGAATGTATGTGGATTTGTGAAAAGTAAATGCAAAGTTATTCCCAAAATCCCGTATACCCAAAAATATTCCTTTTTAAAAAAAATTCTTTCCTAGTAAAAGTTGTATTTCTTAAAAATTTATGCGCAATAAAAAAAAATTACGGCGTTCGGATTGAGGAGCTAAAAGTAATGGCCTTCCAAAGTTTGGCAAAATCGAAAAATTGCTCGTTCGGGGTAACAAACGATAATTTTTTGAGATGAAAGCTTGTTGTAGATTGAAAGATCTTGAAAAAGTATGCGGAATCGGAAAAAATTCGCTACAATCGAATGACGACTTAGCGCAAAGTTACGTTCATTTGAAATTTCGGTGTTACCGGTTACGTCAGGCATTCACCGCGGCCGTCAACCGCAGTGATGCATTCACCACTTTCGTCTGCCGCGGTAAATGCATTCACTGCGGTTGACGGCCGCGTTAAAACATGTGTATTTTGTGAATTGTTTTTATAACGTGTATATTTTGAGAATAAATAGGTGTATTTTAGGATTCCATCCCATCTATGGCGGCATGAGTAGAAAGAAGTCAAGGCAGCTAATACGTACTCACCTTTCCAATAGGGTGTGAAAAGCTATATGAAAACTGTAGGGTAAAATACCTCGGATACCACTAAGTTTCAGAATTGGGGCATGCATACCACTTAAGTTTGAATAGGGCGTCAGGTACCACTGAACTCTATTATTTGTGTACCCGGTACCACTTAAGTTTAATGTTAAGTGCATTCCGTTAAAGTTAACAGAATATTCCAAGAATATTCTGTTTTCTAAATTTCTTAATTGGTCCTTCTACTTTTCTTATTGTAAAAAATCATTTTTGACTTATGAAAAACATCAATTTTTATTATTTAATTGGTATCCTCTTTTGAAAACTTGATACCAAATTTATTTTTGAATAGAAAATTTAAAATCAATTATTATTATAAGTATTTTCAATTATTATTATGTTTTCTAATAATTGAATTATTCTTTTTTTTTTAAGATTTTGATATCAAACCAATTTTTGAATAGGAAATGTAGAATCAATTATCAATTATAAGTACTTTAAATTACGATTATGTGTTATAATAATCGAATAATTTGCTTAAGCAAATATATCCTATGAATTCTATATCGATATAAATAATATGAGGATGTTATATGTAATTCTCGTACATCATCTCGATGTTGTATAATTTTCTTGGTTACTTTCGTTCTATTTTCGTTCTAAATTTTCTTCAATTACTTTAATGTTTAATTCTTTCTAACTATGTTCCATTTATCATTCTTTGTCTTGATGTATTGATGATCGATTAGATTTTATTTTAACTATTTTTAGTGGTACTTCTTATCGGATTAGTAATTTAAATAAATCTTCTAATATTGATTTTAATTATTTATTCTTATATTCTATATATTTATTCTTCTTCTTGATATTTGTTTATTATTTTTTACTAACTTATCTATTTTATTGAAAATTTTGATTAGTCATTTAAGTAATATTATGTTTAGAAGGTTTTTTTAATTTCTATATTAGATAAAAACTTGTTAAAATATAGTTTTGGATGTTTTTAAAAGTTTTGGGTACCAAAAAGTAATTAGATTTTTGGGTTGGATGGAAAATTAGACGGATGCACATCCACTGGAAGTTCGTGGTCTTGTACGGAGAGCTATTGTCATGTGAAACATTTGTTACCATTGAGTCGTGTTTTGGAGATGCAAAGGCCTTCTCATATGCAGCGGTTTGGATGCGGTTCTAAGATGTTGAAAGCAGGGATGCATCAATCTGAAGCTCGTCTCTTTTCTCCAAGCCTGTCCGTTGCAGTTTTTGTGGTCTCCGGGCTCTTCGCGGACTGCTGTTCTCCCGTTGGGGCGTTGGTCCGCTCGTTGCATGGTGAGCTGGTGGTCGACGATTGGTTTTCGGCGGCTCTGTTCGTACGGTTGGCGGCGGCAGGTTGGAGAAGAGATGATAGCTAGGGTTGGTGTTGGTAGTTGTCTGTAGGGTTAATTGGGCTTGGGCTCACTTTGCGGGCTCTGGGTTTCGGGCTTCATTTTTTTGTTTCTTTTTGAAACATTTGTTAGGGTTTTGTTTGTGGGCTTTTTTCCCCTTTGATGTCTGGGGTATCTTTTCATGGGTTTTACGCTAAACTTTGTACTCACTTTTGAAGTGCAATATAAGCAGCTTCTTGCAAAAAATATATAAAAGTACGACACGTGGTAGATCTTTGATTTCTAGGCCTCTCTGACAGTTTCCCAGCTTTGCTGGAACAAGTAGCGTTATGAATTATGATTGGCACAAACTGCTTTCTCAAACTAAAATAACAGAGAATATGATCCTAGGGCTGGGAAAATAGACCAGACCGTTAGAAAAACCGTGGTCCAAACCGTACCGCACAGTTTGGTTCGGACCGTAGACCGTGAAGTATGGTCTGGTCTGGTCCATGGTCTGTATTATTTTATGATTTGATCTCTTGGTCTGGTCTGGTCTAGACCGCGGTTTACCGGACCAGACCGTAGACCCAACTGACTTATCAATACGTGTTAACAGCCCATTCGACCACTCTCCAAACTCCCACAACGACACCCAAGTCTCAACCTTAATTTTGTGAATCTCTTCCCTCCTTCATTCACAACCACATTTAACCACAGAGTAGAGATAATCGTGTCTCCATATGACATTATGTTAATGTTTATGACATTATGGTGCAAGCTGGGATGCTTTTACTTTGTATCTTTGTTATGTACTAAGATTTAGAGTATCAAAATTATTCATGCATGTTAGGATTAATGTTTTAAGGCAAATAACAATTATTTTTCTTGGTTATTGGTTCAATTTTTTGTGTGGTTGACTAAACAAATTATTCATTTTTCGTTGAGTGTGGTCTATCTGGACCAGACCAGACCGAACCAGACCGCACAGGCGTGGTCTGGACCAGACCGTATAATCTGTGGTCTGGTCTGTGGTCTATACTTTAGCCTCTCGATCTGGACCGTAGACCGTATATATGGTCTGGTCTGGACCAGACCGCACCGTTTCCCAGCCCTATATGATCCTAGTAAAATCTCGTTCAGACCAGACCGCACCGTTTCCCAGCCCTATATGATCCTAGTAAAATCTCGTTGATTCCATGGCAATGATATAAGTCATAGAAAGTTGTTCGCTACAACTTTGGTTTGACACAGAAAAGCAGGAGTTCCAATCAGTCAATATATGTCAGTTTACTATTACTGAGTTCATCTTTTGCTTTTTATATTTTAATTTTAAATTTATTTAACATAATTAAGAATTTAAATATCAAGAAAATAAATTTGAGTTCACCAATAACAAACTCACATGTAGATGATTGGAGCTTTTACGTCCAGCAAAAGTTGGAGCTAAAAAAATTATGTCCGTAATGTAATAAGAAATGCTATCAAAAAATAACTGCCAAACTCATATAATTGAAAATAGTTGATTGCATTGGGTAATTAATTGATAAAATAGGAACATCAATTATTTGACAAGATTACATAAAAAAAAAGTATTTATGTCTTTGAATACAAACTTATTTGTGGTAATGATTAATAAACATACACAAGAAAATATAGAATAAGTGTGAAAATAAATATTGTATCAGCCAAGAAACATCACATGTATTATGGCCGGACCGCCGGAATACAATTTTTTTTTTTTTAATAATACATGTTCATAATGACGACGGTGGAAGAAAGTTGTGGGTGCCAATAATGATGTCACGTACATGAGCTGCTGTCATCATAATTTAGGCTTACACAAGTACGTGGGCACACTTTGCTCATGTCTAAACAAATTATGAGGATCCACTTTACTCTTAATCTTCACCAACCTATCAAAGTTCCCCTTAAAGTAGCTCCTCCCGTACCCTTCCGCCGCCGCCGCTCCCCCGCCGCCGCCGTTGACCCCGAGATCAAGATCCTTGTAGTTCAGGAACGACGCCCTCGGATTCCGCGACACGTACGGCGTCATGTAGTCGTACATCTCCCTACACAGCGCCACGTGTCGCCTCTCCGCCTCCGCCCCTCCTTCGTCCCAGTTCACCTGGTACTGGATCTTCCACAGGTTCCCCGCGCGGTGAGGAAACGGCGTCGCTTCCGCCGCTATCTCGCTCATCCTCCCGCCGTACGGGTTGAACGCCATCTTCACCACCTCCACCTCCATCATCTTCCTCCATATCGCTTCCAGCCCGGGCC